TATTAACCACAGTCTGTCTAATTAATAGTGGTTGATGAGGAACTAAAGGCAAAAGCTATAGGTTAATGGCCATCATACTTCAACTTGAATGCCACATAAACCTTGGAATAGCGTATAAAGAGAGAGTCCAACATCACATGTGGGTTTTTCCTGATGAAGTTCTACCCTCACATTGAGAATCCATTAGTCCGCTATAGGAAGAAACCTCCCAAGCCCCCTATTAAGGACAGGGAGACTCCAGCACTCTGGGATTTGGCCTTCATCATCGGCACCGACAGCGAGAAGGAAGCTATTAAATCATAAAATGTTGACTTCACTTTTTGAAATGAAAGGATTTATTAAAACAGTATGGTGGACCGGGGGGTACAAAAGACTTTGTGATGTATTTGGCTGTTAGAGTCTTCAGAACCGTTTGTGGCCGGAGAAGCTGGTGGGTGTGACAAAACTAATTGGAGCGTGTGACAAACAGCAGAGAGAGTCGGACTTTACAGTCAAATACTTTTGTGATTTATTAGACACAAATTGTACCACCAACACAAGGAATAGCATGGAGGCTTTTTACTGCGTTCAGTCAGTGTGTGAAGCACACCTCCCAGATCATCTCTGAGGACACATTCATAATGCTGCAGTGAAATCCGTGGCTGCTGCTGGGTTTAGTAGACAACGTCAGCGCGCATCCCAATAGCTTGTGTGTGTGTGTCTGCTATTTATAAAGGTCGCTTGTTAATTTAACAGCTAATTTAATTAGTTAATTGTTTGTTACATTTAAATTAAATTAAATAAACATTTATAAATAAGATATTTGAATTCATATTTCATGAAATAAAAACAAATATTTGTATGATTTTCAACAAAAGCTAGAGTTATAAAAGTATCATATTTTTTAGGGCACTCTAGGACTACTCAATTTAAAAGAGGCCCAGATAATTATAATCTCAGAATTATTTCTTTATTACTTGTATTTCTTTATTTATAAGAAAAAGATATTTAAATTCCATTTTAATTAAAATATTTGTATGATTTCCAACAAAAGCTATAGGGGTACAAAAGTACCAGATTTTTGTTTTCTCATGAGCTTTTGTTGTGTTCTCAAGGACGCTTTAGGGAGGCACAGAAAACAATCGAATATTGCATTTGTAAGTTAATTAAATTTCAATAAAAATATTTATAAAAAGATATTTGAAATCAAATTTAATTCAATGAAATCAGAAATATTTATAGGATTTTCATCAAAGGTAGGGGTACAAAAGTACCTTATATATTTAATTATTTATCATTTTAATTTAGTTCAAAATCTTAAAAAAAAAAAAGACTACCATAATACTAACAATATTGCAAAAACAAATCCAATTTGTAAGATTTGCAAAAAAACAAAAAAATTGAAAACGAAAAAGAAACTGGAGAATACAAAATTTAAACTGGACAACAACCTAGCAAACACTTGTTTTTAATTGATAGAGGACAGACTTCTTTGTGATACTTTATCGGGACTGAATGATTTAAATGAGAATCATGTCAGTTCACAGGACGGCAGTGTGGCAAAACTGTCCAACAGATGTTTTTTGAGTTTTTTACAAGACATCAAATATTTAAGAGCTCTATAGCTCTATAGCACTATAACTGTGATTCCACATAATCAATCCTGTTCATACAATCTAAGCTATTTGCATTGTACTGTTGCCGTTTACAATTTACAATTGCTGTTGCTGTTGCAGTTTACATGCTATTGTTTGAACTGCAGATTGAGATAAACTTGACACTAATCAGTGTAGTTTAACTTTTTATATCAACAGAAAATGCAACACTTATGAGAGCCAGTAAATGTTTGAAGTGTAAATGTTTGAAGAATGCTACTGAAAAAGAATTTTTAAAAGACTTCAGGATTTATTTCACAGTATGACAATTTAATGTCTGCCTGTATAAAAGAAGGATGTCACCGTGCAGTTTAAAAATATGATTAGTGTTTAGTCAGATGTTTTGTGCAAGTACTTTAAATAGCAACAACAAGAAAAATGTATGTACAGCAGTCATGGGTGCAACAATAAGAAAATTGTGGGTGTGTGAAATTGAATTGAAATGGAAAAAGTCCATAGTTCAAGAAAACCCAGACTGGATGACTGTTTTCCATCTGATATTTACATGCTCTCGAAGTCTGCTTTTAATTCTAGGTACTCTTTAGTTTGTAGAACAGATGCAGACATGACTTTTTCATCGTCCTTTCATTTCAGCTGTTTGTAAATCTTTGATAAATCTTTTATCCTTTAATCTTATATCCTGCAGAGATAAATGTTTTACTGTAAAGCTGGTGTTCTGTCTTGTATTTTATTTTAATTTTTTTGCATAATTTGTGTAGTGCTGGAGAAATGCATACGAGTAGTCAAATTATAGTAGTTGAAATACGCTATTTACAACTATTTAAAAAGTCATTATTATTTTATGCATTATAAAAGCATAATTTATAAAACTTTGTTCTCTCTATAAATGCATTTAATTAGATTTTGACTTCTGTGTTTTGGAAAGAGAGTAGAACCCAGAGAACTACTGAATACTGAATCATTTATTTTGAATATTTATTAATAAATTGTATTTATTTATTTAGTTCATATTTTGTTCAAAGGCATTTGAAAGGTAATGTTACAGACCAAGAATGAAAAAAAAAGTTATTTAAACTATACAAATTAATTAACATATCTTGTTATTATTTTTAACTGGAAAAATGAAATGAATCATATTAGTTATGTGAATCTATTGTCACCTCTAATACTTGAAATGTATGTTTTATAGGTTGTAGAAGCCTGTAGAAGCTGCTGAAGTACTCCACTGATTTGTGTCGCACTGTTGGTAATGTAATGTATCTTTAATTTTTTGTCTCATGCTCCCTCTCTCTTTCCTTCTATTATGTGTCTTCCTATGCAACTGTTTTCTATTTGTCACCTCAAACGTGAAAAAAAAAAGCTGCTTCGTGTGAGATCTGATCAGGCCTCAGTAAATCATGCCACAGGGCACCGCTGTGAGCAAGAGGGCATGACGGATAGTGAAAGAGAGAAACCGCTTATGAAAACAAACCTTGTGTGAACAGCATCCAGATCCATCCTGATAATCGGACTAATAAGCAGGACAAACAGAGAATTCGTTTTACTCACCGAGACATCGGCGGTGTGACATGGTGCTTTGAGAGATGAGAATGACCATCTCTCTCTCTAAATAAGGCCCTGACTCCACACTCTTTTCCCCATCTGCTAAAGCTATTTATCCCAGCAAGGCATTTGATTTCCTCTCCCTCTTTTACCCAGGAGCATAGAAAGGCCCTGCTCTGTGTGCCGTTGCACCGCATCTGTCTCTGTGGGTGAAACCTTTGGGACGTCTTGAATGGCGATGCAGTTAGTTCAGCAGGAGCAGTGCGGGCCGCGATGAGCGCTGTTACTCTGATTAAAGCAATGATACACTACCATGACCGCGAATTACCGCTAATGTATATTCCATAAAGAATCTTTTATTTATTTTAGTGGGAAGTTGTTGAATTTATATGGGATATATCGTTGGGTATATACTGCATACTGTATGTGCATACATGTGTGTATACACTGCACGTAAAACATTCTGATATTTGAACCTATATACATTTTGAAGTAAATTTACCTAATCATTCTGATTATTATGCATGTTGCTGCAGTTTTTATGACCTCAGTAATTGAGAGATTATATGTAATATTTGAATATATTTAATTATAATGTATTAGAATAATTATATATACATGTTATAATAATTTCAATATATATGTAAAATAATACTACTGTTGTTTTTATAATACAATTATATTATTATAATATGCAATTGGTGCTGAAACTATTTTCACACAAAAATTGCTAGTAAATTTCACTAACAATTAAAAAGAAATGGCAAGTAATAGAAGAAGAAGAAAATTATTTTCTTGTAAAACAAGCTCCAATAATCTCTGTTTTACTTACAACTTCAAAAAATATTGCTTTTCAGTGTACACTACCATTCTCAGCTTATCAGCAAGATTTTTTTTGATAGCTGAATGAAGATTAATGCTTTTATTGTTACAGAATATTTTAATGTGACTTTTTTAATGTTACAAAATATTGCTCTTTTCAGATGTCATCACATTTTAAAATATATTAAGATATTTTAAATTGTTACAATATTTCACGTTGTATTTTTGATCAAATAAATGCTGATTTTGGTGATAAAAAAATGTTACAGACCCCAGACTTTTTGAACAGAATGTACATTAACATGATGTTGATTAGTCCATCACAGTTTTCTACTTCATTCATTTTTAAATAATTACAATTTAATTATAATTATTTAGAAATTAATAAAGTAGAAAATTTTCGACTTCAGTATTATAAAAAACATGAGAAGCAGCTTAAAAAAAAAAAAAAATGCATTTGTACTTTGTTGAGGTTGTAGATGGTTGCCGATGAACTGCACAAAAAGTATGGCAGAACTTTTTGTACAGTCATACTTCCAATAGAAGAAGATCTACTGCTTAGTGGCTTTTAGCCCTGAGCTCCTGTCCTCTAAATCATTCTCATAACAGAGGACAAAGTGCTGAAGATCAACAACCCATTAACACTTTTAACCCCTCTCAGTTGCTCCGACCTACTCAACCAATCTGACTTTTGTCTTTTGGGACCAGAGGAAAAAGTCATAGTTTTGAACACAAATCACAAGAGAGATTAAAAAGGGCCAAACTGAAAATCTGCCTGTTTTTTTTTTTTGACATGTTTTAGATGTATGGAGCTGCAGGGCTGGTCTGGCTCGATTCCGTGGACAGTTGTGGCGGGGTTCTGTGACCCAGCCTCCCTCTCATGTTACGGCCCTATTTATAACATCTCCCACCCCTCCTTCAGTCCCAGCCCATTGCCCAAAAGCCCGGCCACTGTTAGGAAGCACCTTTCCCTCTCAGCTGGGCCGCAGTCTGCGCTAGACTGTCAACTGAGATTCAGCTCTCCTCATCATCATCAGCTGCGCTGCCTGGCAACTCTTGATCGCAACGTGCATGGGATTATCACACACACGTGTACAGACACACTATTTTTCTTTTTCCTTCATTTTCGTCTTTTTTAAGGAGACCCTGTTTGAAGTGAGAAGCAACGGAGCGTTTTGTATTTCTGCTGTTTTGTTTTTGTCTTTGGGAAGTTTTCTTGTGGTTTTTGTTCCACTAGCGGCTGGTTTCATGCATGCGATGGATCACACGCTTTTCGGCTGTTTGCGCAGCCCTCACGCCCCTCCGCAGGCCCTGCACCCCGCCTTTGCCCTTCACGGACGCTCCGAGCACCTCTCCTCGTACCCTGACCTCTCCACCTCCTCTCCTTCTTCTACCTGCATCGTGAGCGGTTACCCAGGTGAGGATGGGGGACTGTTTGGGGGATACGGGCATCAGCGAGGGCTGCCCATGTCCCAGCAGCATCATCATCATGTACCCCAACCGCAGCAGACCGGATGGCACATACCGCAGACGGCCAGTGTCTCTCCGGCCAGTGCCCGTCTAGGACTGGGGGTCTCGGCCACTGATTCAGGCTCTTCGGACATGGGCCCCGGAGGCCCCAGCCTCTGTGCAAGCACACCGAGCCTCGGCGGAGGGGTGCCCTCGGGTGCCTCCTGTGTTCCTGGAGGGGATTTCGGACATCATACGATGTCTCCAGCCGAGGCGGAGAAAAGGAATAGCAAACGAAGAAGTGACAGCTCTGGTAAGAAACAAGCTCATTTTTATTTTAAACTAATTAAGGGGTCTGATCTGATCAAGTAATTTTTCATACGTAGTCTTTAGTTTTTATGTAAATGTTTTTTTTTTTTTTGCAAATCTTACAAATTGGATTTTTTTGCAGTATTGTTAGTATTATGGTGGTCTTGTATTGTTTGAAATTAAATTTGTCAGATCTAATTTTATGTATATGTGTAGGTGTGTGTGTACATATAGATAGATATTTAATTGTAAACTATTTAAATTAGAAATATATTATTATTTTTTAAATATATATATATATATTTTTTTTTCAGATATTATGTATAATATATATATTTTTTTTCCAAATATTATATATAAATTACATTGAGTTGTTTTAGTTCCCATTAAAAACAAGAGGTTTCTCTTAAAACATCTAAGTTTGTTTTTATTGTAACTGAAAAGGGAATTGAATGAGTAAAAGTGCATTTTAACAGCCTTAACAATCAGACTGAGTGCAGTGCTAGTGTTTTCGGAAAATGATTCTCCCATGCAGTGTTCGGAAACGTGGAGCCGTGTATTTGAGCGCAAGAGTTTTGTGTTGGCTGACACGCACAGAAGCAATTATTTTGGCTAGCAGAGGGCAGATTGTAACTCTTGTGTGGGCATGCATGCATGATTCATGTTTAGTCTCATCTGTTTCATCTCCTCACTTCTTTGGCAAGCAGAAAATAACACTTGTGGTAAAGTAACTAATGCCATGGCCTGAGATTGAGAACAGGGACGCCCGTGTTGGCATTTAACACGAAAAGCCGAACGTTAGATGACAGGAATGCTGTGAGCAGCTTTCTCTTTGTATATAATTTGTTTGTACATTGGAATCAGAATGGGAATATACTGTTACTTTATTTTTAGTTTTGCTGATGGGTAAACGGGCAGGGAGATATGAAGTAAACTCAAGGGTTTTCGGTTCACTGCAAAAAGAAGCTGGTTTAATCTGATGGGGATCTCCAATTTGTTTTGTCTGGAATAACTGCCACTACTGTAAAAAAAATCAATTTAACACTGCATAAAATGGATCATAAAATGTATTTTTACGATCTACTTACTTCAAAGGGAATTTTAACTACTTTCTGCACTTTAAAAACAAAGTTCAGGTCCATACAAGAGGCACAGCCCTCCAGATGTTGATTTATTCTCATTTGCACCAGCCCAAAATTAACATAACATAAATACACTTGTTCCACTGCTGGAAAAGGTCTAACAGAATTGGATGACTATATATTGCTAGAATAACCCCAAAGCCCAAAGCATCATGAGGTGAGTGCTGCAAGTTGCAGTTATTGTTATTTTTAGATCACAGGCTCCGGAAAGCATTTCGAATAAGTTGGGTCGAGAATGATGACAAGAAGTAATAACAAAAAAGTCACTAAAAGTCTTATTCTTGTGGCTGTGCACACAAATATCTGTGCACACCACTGACACACACACACACACACACACACACATGTGTGTGTGTGTGTATATATATATATATATATACAGTATATATATGTGTGAGTGTGTGTATAAGTGTGAGTACAGATGTGTTTTGGTCTTTTTAAAATCTTTTAATATCATTTATATTAACATAAACTGTCACACATCTTGATGGTTGCCTCAATTTCAGTGTAATTATGGCCTAACAAAAAATGAAAGTTTCTGCTTTATAGAATGGTTTTATAATGAGCATCAATCAATGGAACAATAGATTATTTATTAATAAAATATCAACAGTTTTAATGCATTTTAAGATATGTTCATCTTAAGATATAATGTTTGATTTATTCAAAGCATGTGTGGCTGTTCTAATAAAACAGCACATGGCTGGTTTGGATAAAGACAGCAGTTTAGCGTGTATTTTGTCATGTGGGTTTGCATGATATTCATTTTGGTTTCTTTTTTTCCACCAATAAAGCTCAGCTTCAGTGTGTGTAACTAGAATATTAAAGTAGATGTCTAAATTTTCATTGTAGCTGTAGTTTTTAAAATCATCTTTGAAAGCTCAGGCCGTTCTGCTCCCTTTTTTCCCAGTTCTTTGCTTTTTTTAAAGAAGAGATAAAAGTTAAGGCGCAGGCCTAATTGCTGTGGTGTAACCGCCGTTTCGGGAAGCTGGGAAAAGTTGCTTTAACTCAGAGCAGCTCTGTTCGCAAAATGCTGCTCGTGTTGGTTTTTCTCACTCCACAATGGCTGCGTTTAGCCCGCAATAAACGTGCCTTTCTGCGCTTGTTTTAATCAGACCCATATTCAGCCGAACTCTTTTCTGTGAGTCAAATTCACAGAAATTTAGCTAAAACTGTGGCTGTCACAGTTGCGTTTTTGTCGCTAGAAATCACATGATGATCAAAGGCTCAATGAGCACGAGTCACCAAAGAGTGCGACTTTGTTATATCATCATCGCATGAACAAGTCTCCATCCTTGTCAGCCTCTGCAAATCCAAACCTGTAAATTATACTGTTAAATAACACATCTGGCATGTGTTTATAGCCATGATGTAGCTGACAGCAGCGATTTGACACTTCATCTGAACATCCACCTAAACTGAGACCTTCAAGGTGATGGGTATATTATACACATCATCATTTTCGGTGAACTTTCCTTTAAAAAATTGGATATTACAAAAATTTTTAGCATTGAAAAACATACAAAAAAATGTAAATGTCATGCTGATTTCTGCTGAAATAGCAGAGCAAGTTGTGGATGGGGTCTCATTAAAGCTGACTCTATTTACAGCTGGGTTTTGGATTGCTAGTTGGATTAGCGCTCACTCCACACCCTTAGATAAATGAACCCAAAAGTTTGATGTGCCCTTTGAAAGTGAGTCACAGCAAGAGAAGGCGCATGTCTCTCAAAAAAAGAATACAATTTCCTTCCTCCAGTGTCAAAACAACAGAAGCGCATGTGTCTTTGGTAGGATGGATTGCAGGTCTAATCTGACATTTCCTCACTGACCTTTAGTGTTTTCCATTCAAGATTAGACTTGACGTAATTGAGCTCTAGCAATAACCACATGTAATTGTAAATATATGCACTTTTATGCGTTCATGTTCTGTCACTCCAAAAACCATCTGAAAGTAAGGAAAGCAATTCGCAGCGCAAGAGCGAGGAAGGGAGTAAGACACACACCACTGAAAATTGTTGTGAGTTGGCAGCTTGAGTGGAAGACGCTTGTAAAATTTTGAGGTCAATAAACGAAGGAAATATATTTTTACACATCCTCCAGTACTGTTTTGTTCCGAATTAAAACTACAGCGTAGCGGATTCCATTAACAGTAAGTCAAATGAAGTCTTTGGAAACTGTTCTGGTGAGCGCCAACTCATTGTGAGAATCTATAGAGCGGTTTATGAAAACTCACGGCTGGGGTTGACTTTTATAAACAGCTGGCATGAACAATTGCAGCATCGTAAAAGATGACTGGCAGTCTTCCTCTGCTTTCCTTTATAACGTTTCTGGGATTTCAACCCTGCAGTGATTGTATTTAATTGGAACGATTGTGCTGAAATTAACTGATTGTGTTTCAAAGGCCGTTTTGTTGCAGAACGGGATGTTGATGCTGCTCTTCAAAAGTTTTTGCGACCGTTTCTGACTTGGAAATTATTTCTTCCGTTCTTGCTTTTTCTTTTAAGAGTCCCAAGATGGGAATTACAAATTGGATGTGAGCAGCAAGCCAAGGAAGGAGCGGACGGCGTTCACCAAAGAGCAGATTCGAGAACTCGAGGCAGAATTCGCCCATCACAACTATTTGACCAGACTGAGGCGGTACGAAATCGCCGTAAACCTGGATCTCACGGAAAGGCAGGTGAGATGACCGACCGCGTCCTTGTACCTGTTCATCAAACATTCTGTCAGAAGCTACTGCTGTTCAGTGCTTTTCTATCCAGCTGTGGCTATGGAGTGGGACTATTGTATTCCAGATGTTTCTGCAAGATCTCTTTTTGGCTGTAGTCAAGTAACGGGAGAGGTGAAGGAAGTTCTGTCCGCTAAGGCACTTCTGCCTTGCCGCTCCATCTTACAAATTGGTCTCTGCGTGGGAAGGTGCTTCCTACAGCCATATGTGAAATAAATAGCACATGACGCTTTATTTGGAGCCAAAGAAATATGGGTTGTTGTAACTATTTGATGTTTTAACCAAACAACTATGTAATCTTATTAAACCATTGAAGTTTATTGACTTCTACAGACATAAAGAGATGACATAATGCTTGCTGTTTTTGGAATGACATCATTGGCAGGTCATTCTGGCCTTATTCGAAACACCACTGCTCAATGAGCCATGCAGTTTCTTTAATTTATAATATGTCCAAAACTTCACAGTATTTTAGTTTACAAATGTGTTTCTAGACCTTCTGGTTTCATCAGACTTTGCAGTTTGCCAAGGATCCCACAAGGAAGTGACATCTGTGGCCTTAAATTATGCTACATTCTCTGGGGATACATTCCCAAGGCTTAGAATTAAAAACCTTGCCACACGACAAGTAAGCAAATCCGTCTCCTGCAATGTGATCCCTGTGTGAACCTGCTGGAGTTCTGGATCTTTGTGGCAGGAGTAGGGCCACCACCATTTTGCACATGTAAAATGGTTACTAATCATAATAATAATATTGCAGAGCCTAATTAAAACAACCGTCTTTGATAAAATTTATTACAGCCCCTGCAAGACAGCACTGCATTGATATTCCTATAAATGTTTTAGGGGTTTATATTTAAACTCCTTCAGTTAATTCAGTCTGAACTACATAACTACTTAACATAAGAATTCAAACTTATTTTATATTTATAATTAATAATACATTTTTATATACAATTTTTTTTTTTTTACATTTTGAAGAAATGTAAAATCACTGTGAAAGATTCCCATTGACTTGTATTGATAGACGGTTCAGCTTTTAAAATCTAATATTCCTCAATGATTAGAATAGAAGTTCTATGGTTAATTCAGTCTGAACATGCAAATTCCGTTCAAACTTGTATTTATTTATTTATGCAGTTTATATCTATTATTTTTATTTATTTGTAACATTTAAAAAAAAAAACTTTTTTAAATTAAAGTGTGAAATATTCCCATAGACTTATACTGATCCTTAAGAATAACTGATTGTGTTTCAAAGGCCGTTTTGTTGCAGAACGGGATGTTGATGCTGCTCTTCAAAAGTTTTTGTGACCGTTTCTGACTGTTGGAAATGTTTTCTTGTTTTTTTCTTTTAAGAGTCCCAAGATGGGAATTACAAATTGGATGTGAGCAGCAAGCCAAGGAAGGAGCGGACGGCGTTCACCAAAGAGCAGATTCGAGAACTGGAGGCAGAATTCGCCCATCACAACTATTTGACCAGACTGAGGCGGTACGAAATCGCCGTAAACCTGGATCTCACGGAAAGGCAGGTGAGATGACCGACCGCGTCCTTGTACCTGTTCATCAAACATTCTGTCAGAAGCTACTGCTGTTCAGTGCTTTTCTATCCAGCTGTGGCTATGGAGTGGGACTATTGTATTCCAGATGTTTCTGCAAGATCTCTTTTTGGCTGTAGTCAAGTAACGGGAGAGGCGAAGGAAGTTCTGTCCGCTAAGGCACTTCCGCCTTGCTGCTCCGTCTTACAAATTGGTCTCTGCGTGGGAAGGTGCTTCCTACAGCCATATGTGAATTAAATAGCACATGACGCTTTATTTGGAGCCAAAGAAATATGGGTTGTTGTAACTATTTGATGTTTTAACCAAACAACTATGTAATCTTATTAAACCACTGAAGTGTATTAACTTCTACAGACATAAATAGATGACGTAATGCTTGCTGGTTTTGAAATGACATCATTGCCAGGTCATTCTGACCTTATTCGAAACACCATTCAGAACATTTTTAACTGCTCAATGAGCCATGCAGTTTCTTTAATTTATAATATGTCACAGTATTTTAGATTACAAATGTGTTTCTAGATGTTCTGGTTTAATGAGACTTTGCAGGTTGCCAAGGATCCCACAAGGAAGGGACATCTGTGGCTTTAAATTATGCTACATTCTCTGGGGATACATTCCCAAGGCTTAGAATTAAAAACCTTGCCACACGACAAGTAAGCAAATCCGTCTCCTGCAATGTGATCCCTGTGTGAACCTGCTGGAGTTCTGGACCTTTGTGGCAGGAGTAGTATTATGACTGTTGGGCCACCACCATTTTGCACATGTAAAATGGTTGCTAATCATAATATTGTTGCACTGCCTAATTACAACAGCTATCTTTGATTAAATTTATTACAGCTCCTGCAAGACAGCACTGTATTGATATTCCTAAATGTTTTAGGAGTTTATAATTAAACCCATTCAGTTAATTCAGTCTGAACTACTTAACAAACAAGCATTCAAACTTGATTTGTATATATATTATTTTTATCTTTATTTTTATGTATGTCTTTTTTAAAACATTTTGAAGAAATGTAAAATTACAATGTAAAAGATTCCCATTCCTATACTGTTCAGCTTTCAAAATCTAATATTCATCAACGATTAGAATTAGACTTCTACAATTAATTCAGTCTGAACTACCGGTACTTAACATGCACATTCCATTCAAACTTTGATTTATTTATTTATAATTACATTTTATATCTATTATTTTTAAAATATTTGTATTTATTTGTTTTGAACTTTTTAAAAGAAAGTTTAAATTAAAGTGTGAAATATTCCCATAGATTTAGGATAATGATCCTTAAGAATTAAACTTCAATTAATTCAGTCTGAAATACTTAACGTACAAACTCTGTTCAAACTTAGTTTATTTATCAAATTATAATTCATACATTTACATACAGTATATATTATTTTTTAAACTTTTGAGAAATTTAAAATGAAAGTGTGCAAACTTCCTGTTGATTTCATGAATGTTCAACAATCAAAACCTAACCAAAAACAATGATTTCATCTGCATTCTGATGCGGATGTTTTGGCAATTTTTTTTCTTTCTTGCATTGGTTTAACCACGGCAAAGACGTTGTATTTTGATTCTCATATACAACCAAGAGAAATCAAGATGTGTGCTGAGTTTTATGACAACTGTAAAGTGTCTCTGATGTCGTTTACACAGACCCAGTCTTCAACTTTAAATGTATTCAAATGCTGCCAATGCAAGTGATGGTATTTATAAATGAATATTTCGTTTTTATATTTAGGCTGTTTTTCTGTCTAATGGCATGCACTATCCTGTGAGCAGTAATGTACTAGAAGTTTTCAGGCTGACAGAAGAACTGCAAACGTTGCAGATATATTTTAAGGGTGGTAGTCTTACAGTGCTGACAGTAATGAACTTGGGCGGCCAATTGAATAGTGTCTAGCAGACTATAAAATCAAAGAGTATTCCTTGTGGATTCATGAAACGTAAGCTGAATGAATCATTGTGTATGTAATTTGATCTAAAATGTGCCTTTGAACTTGACAATCAAGTTTGACAGCCATTTGAAAAAAAAAAAAAAAAACTTTGAATGACATAATTTTGCTGATTTGGGCCTGGTATTCCTCAAGTCTAATTGCATATGAAGAATTCTGGTCCATTCCATGTGACCATCTACAACATTATACTCCACCAGAAATAAATGTTAGAGTACAATGGCCAATTAATTTTGTTGTTTTGTGCCTGGTATTCCTCAAGTCTGATTGTGAATTACAGTCCATTTCATGTGACTATCTACAACATTATACCCCTCCAGAAATACATTTTAGTGTATGGTGGCTGGGTCCCCCAGCAAGCCTTACTTGCACTGCAGTGACCATTTAAGAAATGGCTAAATCATCATTCTGGGAAACGTAAATACTGGCTCTGACTGAACTCGCAAGGAAAAGACGGAAATGTCTGATGCCACAAAACATATGGGCTCCAGTTATTGCTGATCTGGAAATAGCTGTCAAATACTTGCATTAAAAGCCATGTTATATTTCTAACTTCTTCAGAGAAACACAATTCCAAACTTTGTGGATCATGCCTTAGAATAGCAGAGCCGGTCAACTGATCGCATGGCACTTTTGCACCTGATCGAGGGATATTAGCTTACTGGAGTTTGGTGAGTCATGGCCTGATCCACCTCTCCAATCACTCTGCCAAAAAACCACAGTAAACAGATCATCTGCACCAAAGAGCGAACGTACAAACTAATTTGCTGAAGACGAATTACACTCCTAAAGATAAAGTTTTTTTTCCCATTTAAGAACCAATTTGGGTTCCCAAAGAAGCTTTAATGGAACAGTTTTTAAAAGAACCATGTTTTTCTTAGTGTGAAGAACTTTTTAACAATCTGAAGAACCCTTTTCCAATATTAAGAACCTTTTGTGGAATGGAAAGGTTCCATGGATGTTTAAGGTTCTTCATGTAACCATACAATAGATGTCAATTATTTTTAATAGTATAGAACATAACTCATGTGTCTTCCTTTCCCACTAGGTAAAAGTGTGGTTTCAGAACAGACGGATGAAGTGGAAGCGAATTAAAGGAGGCCAACAGGGGGCAGTAGCGAGAGAAAAAGAGCTTGTGAATGTGAAGAAGGGAAAGCTGCTTCCCTCTGAGTTTTCGGGAATTCCTGGACTTCACCATACACCGGACTCGCTTATCAACAATGAGGACAGCCACGACAGCGACCAGAGCTCTGAGCACGCTCACTTATGATACAAACACATCCCATCTGCCTTTCGATGCTTATCTGGGGCCATGTTCCGTTAGGGATTATGTTAAGTACGGACTGAAAGTACACAAAGACTGTATGTGCCAATGAGGAGGCACTGCCAAACGACGCCTTTCAGGACAGTTCCTGTGATGCCTCAGAGTAGTGACAGTGCTCACTAAACATGTAAAAATGTACATAGGACTGATGTTTTGTTGTGCATTTGGATGATACAGAATATTTGTGATACTTTGGCATCAATATTCACAAAGAAAAAGTGCCCTGCTAGTTTGACAGAAATGTTTACACGTTTGAAAGGTGCTGTAAGTCATTTTAAAATCCTGCCTGTCAGCAAAGCCGAACAGCATCCCAGATTTGTGTTGCTGTACACAGAGCCTAGGGACTTCTGTCAGGTCGTATGGATATTTTTTGCATGCTATTCCATAAAATAATCACTTACAGCACCTATAAAGAACCCTTCTAGGCTACTGCTCTATTACTTGAAAGACAGAATCTAGCAGTCGAAACTGGCCCAACAACATTCCATTCTGTTCTTGCATTGAAAAGTTGTATGCTTGTCAGTTTCTGTGCCATAATTGATTTCTACTGTATGTTTTTGTACAATGTTGATGTCATCGGAATAATGATCAATCAAGCGTGCAGTCAAAAACATTTGAGATAATATTATGGCATGTAAATATAATATAAATATTCCTATTTTTCAAAAATCTGACAGCTGTATCATGTGCACACAATACCACATGCTTCAACAATAAACTTTTCGTATGTTGCTTGGTATGATTTGTTCATCATGAATGATTGTTTCTTTGAAGTCAGCTAATGAAAGATAATGCTTGATGAAGGATTCGAGGCTTTCAACTACGGTTTTGGGCCAGTTGATAGAATTGCCACCCATTTGGTTTTCTAGGACATTTTGGTTGTAAATTTTTCTTTGTAATTTTTGTAACTTTCTAGTAGCATCAGTAAGAATGGGTTCAAAATTATATATATATATATATATATATATATATATATATATATGCAAATTTTCTTTGATACATTTGATACAAAAATCAAACTCATAAGTGTGAAAAGTACGGAAGCTTATTTCCACCATGGGATAAAAATATAAAAAGGTAATGGTGAGTTTTTAATCTCACAATTCAGACTTTTTTTCTCAGAACTGCGAGATACGCAATTCTGAGAGAAAGGTCAGAATTATAAGATATAAACTCAAAATTGTGAGAAGAAAAAACTCTTGTCGTAATTACCTTTTTTATTTTTTATTTGTGGCGGGAAAAAAAACAGAATTGAAAGATGTAAACTCAGAATTCAGGAAAAGAAAGTCAGAATTCTGAGTTTATATCTCGCAATTCTGAGTTGCAATTACCTTTTCTATTTTTTATTCCATGGCAGAAACAGGAAAAATTAATAGAAAAATGTATAAATAATATATTTTTTAAAATTACATAAACTGTAAGTGTTAAACATTGTAAAATATAAAACAGATGCATTTTAAGTTATGATGAATGGATAATCTTAAAATGATTATCTTAATTTAATGTGAAGACATCTGCTGCCTCTAGTAGTGAGTAATCTTGAAAGATTTACATTTACATTTAATCATTTAGCAAAAGCTTTTATCCAAAGTGACTTACAAATGAGGAGCACATTAGAAGCAATCAGACCAACAAGAGAGCAACAGTATACCAGTGCTGTGACAAGTCTCAGTTAGTCTAGCACAGTACACATAGCAAGGTTTGTTTATTTATTTATAAAAAAAAAATAAAAAATTTAGAAAATGTATTCCACTTTGGTAGAAATCACGAATCGCAGTCCGGGGGTACCTTGATCGGACCAAAAGGGCACTTTAGCGTCGGGACAGGGGCACGACAACCGTGCTAAAATCTAATGAGAAACAAAACAAAACACAAGCTGCTGTCCTCTTCTGTTGCTCAACTGCTTATTCTTTAAGTAGTAGATTTAAGTAGTAGTTAGAATTTGTGTCATCTGACTTGAGTCACTTTGCATCTACTTTAATGCTGTTGCTGCGTGATAGGGACCTCCTTACAGAAGCTGAAATTCTGGGCCTTAATTGCACACAATTTGACTGGACCTTATGCACTGATACACAACCGTTGTGTATTCAGCTGCGAGTCTTATCCATCAAGAACATTTTTTAACCCTCGGCACCTTCATGCCTTAAGTTGAATGTTTCTATAGAGAAATCCAGTGAGGGTCTGCGACTCATCACCATGATTATGAGACAAATATATGCTAAGGCTGAGCGAGGAGCTTACATGAATAAGCTATTAAGGAAGGGGCACGGGAATATGCTAAACTCAACTTCTCCTCCAGGCAGAGTCACGATTTCTGCCTTAATTCTGAGAGGTGGGTGAGCAAACGGATCATATTCTATTACAAAATCAGGTCTGAAATATTGTTATGGTCCGTTCTTGCTGTCGCCACAGAGTGAGCCTGCATTCTAATTCGTAATGCAAGCCAGGAGAATCAAGACACCTTTGCCCACCAGGACCAGTGATTCTGAGGGTCCTGCCAAAAGAATCAACATTGTAGCTTCAACTGCTTTTGACGGAAGAAACCACAAAAAGATATTTTGTTTGAATGTTTTTGCATCACCAAGGAGATTTCCGGAACTTCCTGCACAATGGAATAGAGAGGTCACACACAAAGCCATGCTACTCTCTGTTTCACATCGAAGCCTTTTACTGCCCTTTGACTTCTTAGGTTCTTTCTCCTGGATAGGAAAAGCTACATTGTTTTAAATATAGTCAAAGCCAAAAACAGCAGCAGACACTACAACCTTTTCCAAAATATCTGTTAATTTACAGTTTGCTGCTGCAGCCTTAAAGGGATTCATATATGATAGGCCTCTGTCTTTCTATATTTATAAAAATAAAATTTAGAATAAAATTATTTAACACTATACGAATGTAAAAAAGAAAAAAGTGATAACAAATAATTAATTCAGTATATCAGTATTTCAGTATTCAGTATACTGTCTGAAAAATTTAGAATTCCATATCCATTAATGTAAATTGTCAGGGAAGAAACCATGCTTTTTAGTATTCAAAAAAGTACTACTGAATCATTTAGTTTATTCTTACTCTGCCAACATATTCTGTTACACCAAATACACAAAATAATGATCTTTAAAAAAGCATCATATGACCCCTTTAAGTCATGTAGCCTAGTGTTGCGAAAGTATGCAAAAAGTGCCAATATATTATTTAATTGTGCCTATTATCGATATATTATCTGTTATCTAAATAATCACTCAGTTCTCTATGTCTTTCTGCAATAAAAATAAAAGCAGGCCTATAGGTCGACTCGGCTATATTATCAATCTTAGTAAGTAAAAGTGCTTGTCGTGAGTCATGTGATGACGACGTCTCTCTTCATGGCGGCGTTACTGTGAAGTTCAAAGGTCCGGACTCCTGTAGGTGTTCATAAACGCCCAGCATACATAAATCCGGCAGTGAGAGGAGCCACTGATCTATACTGTAGTTTTATTTTGACCACATTTACAAACGCAATGGCGCGAGTGGAAGTAACCAATGTGACCGTTTCTCAGGGGGTTCGTATGCTGTTTAGTTTAATGACTCCTAATGAATCCTCATTCGCGACTGTACGAGAGGTGCCGACATATGTCAACCAGGTACGTGTGACATCACTAGCGCGTTCATTGTGGATTTAGGAAAACAGCTGCGAGATGATGCACAGCTGTATACTGTGCGAACTACAGTGTTTAACAACAACAGCACACTCACAGAGAATGTGAGTTTTCGCCACAGTTTACACAAGCTGAGCTTGCATGGGGTGTTTACGTCTTTTACTTCTTCTTTTTCTTCCCCAACGAAACTTGTCTTCATTCCTGTTTCAGCAGGCATAGCAACTTTCTTTGTGTTAAAAGAGAGCGAGAACGCATTAGAAATTGTGCAGGAGTGCCATAGAAATGCAGTGTTATACTACAGTATTATGGCATTATATTGTGAAAAGTATCTATCTATCTATCTATCATCATTTTTTATTTTTTTTTGCAGATAATATATCGATAACACACGCACACATATTTATTTATTTTATTTATTTATACACACACGTATATATTCTTCCCCAACGAAACTTGTCTTCATTCCTGTTTCAGCAGGCATAGCAACTTTCTTTGTGTTAAAAGAGAGCGAGAACGCATTAGAAATTGTGCAGGAGTGCCATAGAAATGCAGTGTTATACTACAGTATTATGGCATTATATTGTGAAAAGTATCTATCTATCTATCTATCTATCATCATTTTTTATTTTTTTTTGCAGATAATATATCGATAACACACACACACACACATATTTATTTATTTATTTATTTATTTATACACACACGTATATATAAACTAGCATAATTGCTCTTAATTTTGTTAATCATGTTTCATATGGTCAGTATATTATTGTAAACAAAACATCTGTAATCGTGATTTCTTCAGGGTTTCTTCAGTATTGGTTTCTCCACCCATGTTTTCTAACAACACTTCTAATACCACAGGTTTAAATGATGCCGTAATTGCATATTGTACCTTTAATTGTGTGGTCTCTTAATTTTCATTAACGTGCAAAAACAGTGAGCACCATGCCTGCAACAAATGGAAAACAAGTCTGCCACCTGTTCAGGTTTTTAAGCCCTACAGCGGGGAGCTCGCTCCTTACATTTTAACAGACCCATATGTGTGTTTTTTGGTTTGGCTGCACTCAAATCAGCACATGTTTGTTATTTGAGGTAAAACACTCACATTTTTACAGGCCGCCATAAACACATGAATAGAGAAATTGCAATTAACCACACAGCAGGAATCCTAATTGTTGAAATTCTGTCACAAACACACACTTGTTAAATTGCCTCGCTCACCATTCCTGCAGAACTTTATTTGAAGTTTCTGTCTCTTGATGTGTGTGGGTGAGACAATAGAAATTCTCTGTGTTTTCTTGTCTTGGTCAATACATGGATTTGTGCTTCAACATTTTAGATATTTTCTTCCATAAGTTTGAATTTGGAGTATAATTGAAACCTGTCGTTCAGACTGTCTACACGTCACTGTTAGACGATAAAAGCGAAGTTGAAACAATAAAATCTCAATAAAAAGTGTTATTAGAAATTTGTATAAAGCAAGTTTAGTTGACAGTACATTTCTTAAAAAACTGTTTGACTGTATTTGTATTTTTGTGTAAAGTTACATGAACCATCCAGAATCTGACCAAGAAAGCTGAAGAAAAAAACTAAAATACTAACATCTGCTTCACAAATGTCATTTTTTGTTTCTGGTGAGATCTGAGTCCACAATCACAGCTTTATATACAACAATTAAGAGCCCCTCAACAATTTTTGCAAGCTTGAAATATGTTACTGCAGGGCTAATAGCGGTTTTCATTTTGTTTCTTAAAAAAAAACATGCTGAAAAATGTTAAAATAAGTTTCTCAAACCTATGAAATTGAAGTGCACGTATAGTTTACTTATAGTTTACAAACAGCATAGCTCACTGAAGTTAAATATCTAATTAGATTGAATTTTGTTTTCATCAACTTTAGTTTGTAAGTTTTGTAAGTAGGTTTCATAGTACTAGCAGCTAGAGCTTTGTTGCAGTCGGTTGGCCAGATGTTTCCAGGTTTGCGTGTGATAGGGGTTCCCAAGTGGTCTATCCTGCCTCAGTTCACTTGTACACACACTCACATACA